TCTCCATGCTTTACTCAAGACGGAAAGGTTATTTCTTTCTTGGTCTTGATAATACTTCTTATTGTTTGCTCTGAGTTTTGCCCAAAATGACTTTAACCAACTGTAAACAGAATTCTCTTCTTGAGATCTGCCCTCTGATTCAAAAGTAATTAAAACTTTTCCTAGTCTCTGTCTTTAATTGTTCAGGACCCTTGATAAGGCCAAGTGTATATCTCTGAAAAGGAAAAGCCAGTCAAAGAATACACAGTGGAGGCTGAACCAAAGACACAAGTTCTAATTTCCACAGGACAGCTCTTCAGTGAGTAAAGTTGTTCAGGGGTTGCTGAAGGAGAAAGATGAGTTATAACTCAGGCTGGTGATGAATAAACACCCTAGTGGACATTTTCCTTTTCAAAGCTGTCAGCACAATTGCCTCTCCACACCCAGTAAAGTGGATTATGGTAGAGAATGGTAAATAGGAGGAGAGGTGGTAGGGAGGAGCACTGGGTATTTGAGGGGTGCTATGGAGGCCTGGGGGACACCCAGCCACAGCAGCACTGTGGAGGATACGCAGTCATAAAGCCAGCATTTAGGGGACTGCATAAGCTAGATGAGAAATGCTCAAAATGTATATGGTATCGGATGAAGGAATGAGTCACTATCTCTAGTACAGCCAGACTGTACATCTTTGTAAACACTTATTTCTTTTACTGACTTGAAACTAGGGCCATGTCTTATAGTTTGTACTCGGCATGAACCTTTACCATAGTATTTGGGAAATAAATATGCATGAGATACATAAATGAAGGAAAGCGAAATTTGAGGCTTTTAATGAAAAAAAAAAAAAAAAAGAAAGAAGTTTCATAAAGCACTAAAATTATTTTCTGCCAAGCATGGTGATGCATGCTGTAATCTCAGCACTTGGGAGGCTGAGGCAGGAGGATCGCTCTGAGTTTGAGGCCAGCCTGGGCTACAAAGTGAGTTCAAGGTCAGCCTGAACTGCATAGTAAAACCCTGTCTGAAAAAGATTAAAAAAAAAAAAAAATTCTGAAAATAGGGAAAACAAACCACTTAGGGTGCTCAGATATTTGCTCATTAAAAAAGTAAAATGCTTTCAAACACTAATTTTGAAATAAGAGCCTCTCACAGTTTTCTTTCTAACACCATAAACCAGAATGGTGTGATGGGAAGAGTGGCCTTTAAAAGGGTCAGCGGACCCAGCAGTCTTTCTCAGTGCTTTATGATGTAGATACTATTGTCCTTTGACAAAGGAGGGAACCCAGACAGAGAAAGGTAAGTCATTAGCTCCAAATCTCCCAATTAGCATATGGTGAAGGCTGGATTCCAACCAGTCCTGACTCCAGAGCCAAGGCTTTGGCAGCCAGCCGCTTGCCCTGCACAATTAAAAGGGCTAGGAAGGTGGAAGGAGCCGGTGATAGTTACAGCCACTCTTATGCAGATAAGCACTGTGGGGCAGTAATGGTCATCTGCATTTTTTGAGGACTACAGATAGCATTAAAGTAATTTCTTGGCTCTTCAATATTTTAGACTAAAAAAAAAAAACAACTCCTTACCAACATATTTTTAAAAACTCAAATGTTAGCTTTTTTGTTTGTTTATTTTTTGGTTTTCAGTTTTTTGAGACTGAGGTTCACTATGCAGTTCAGGCTGGCCTTGAACTCGCTATGTAGCCCAGGCTGGCCTCAAACTCATGGCAAGCCTCCTGCCTCAGCCTCCCAAGTGCTGGGATTATAGGCGTGTGCCACCACGTCCAATTCAAATGTAAGCTTTTAAACCATGAATCGTCCCATGGGTGAACTCAAGAGTTTGAAACAAAGCAGACAGGCGGGCGTGGTGGTGCACGCCTATAATCTCAGCACTGGGGAGGATGAGACAGGAGGATTGCTGCAAATTTGAGGTCAGCCTGGGCTACATAATGAGTCAAGGCCAGCCTGCACTACATAGTAAGACCCTGCCCCTCCTCCAAAAAACCAAAACAAACAGGAAAATGAAACATAAGACATACTCTCTCTACTCCCATTATGTTTAATACCAAGGAATAAGACCTGAGATAGATATTTCATGAAAAGTGCAAGATGTATTATTTTCAACATCATATTCTCCGCCTCACTCATCGGCTCTGTTCTGCGTATCACTAAGGCCCCTGCTCCAAGGAGGCGGCCATGAACAGCGTCAGGAGGAATTTTTGTACCTAGAACCTTGGTATCTAGAGATGCACATCAAACTTGTGATATTTGACTTCCTCCTTGTCGGTCATGCGATCTCCCTTCAAAGGAGGCCAGGAATAAACCCTGGTCAGAAACCGGGGGAAGAAAAGAGGGTGTTACAAAGAAAAGGCCAGAAAAAGGGAACTAGGGGTAGGAGACCAAGGATGGAAAAAAAGATAGAAGATTCTGGAATGTGTGTAGAATTTCATAAACTTTCCTAAGCTCACCTCCAGTGTTTACAATGTTGGTTGGGGTTTGTTTACAAAAGTACAGCAACAGACTGAAACGTGGATGCAGATTTGTATACTAAAATCTCTCTGCCCTGGCACAATCCTCGTGGAATATGAAAGAGGCAGAGAGACAGAATGTGACATTTGTCCGTCCTGCAATGCTGAGAAAGGGACAGCTGACCAGCCACGTGGGACTGCGAGACTACAACTATGACAGAGATGTACAAGAGGGCAGAGCTGGAAGCTCCCACACTGCACCATGTTCTTCTTCCCTCGCACCGGTTACCACGCATTTGCAAGCTTCTCATTACAGTCGTTTCCTCTTGTGAGAGTTTCAGCCAAAGCCACCATCCTCATAGTAATAGCAATAATCATGACATCATAAATAAGAATAATAGCTGCAATATTCTTGACAAGGAACAGGATACCACTTTTTTTTCTTTTTGGCCTTTTTGAGACAGGGTCTCGCTATGCAGTTCAGGCTGGCCTTGAGCTTACTTTGTAGCCCAGGCTGGCCTTGAACTCACAAGGATCCTCCTGCCTCAGCCTCCTGAGTGCGCCACCATGCCCAGCTCAAGGATACCACTTTTGACAGGGTAATTTTTCAGAAAAATTAATACATTTTAAGTTTGAAAGAAAAATATGTTCTCCCTTCTCACTCAACACACTTTTTAAAATCTCTTTTCTTACCCTCATCACTGTTTTCATGAGATCCCCTAACACACCCCTTCCCCAGGCCACACTGTTCTAAACTTATAAGCTTTTACCTTCAACTTCTGAGAGAGCTGAATAAGCAAGAATTCTGAATTCACATTCACTGCAGTTCAAATCCCAAACTTTGTTTAGCGAACTGTGTACTAATTTCTCTGAGTTTGTGTTTCCTCAATCTAAACAGCTTTGGGTAAAACATAGTGTCTCTCAAAAACAGACACAAGGAAACAAGCATAGATCCCATTATTTGAATGCACAACAACTCTATCAATGGAAAATAAGAGGCATTTTCTAAATGTACTTAACATGAAAAAATAGTCTTTCTTCTTTTCTTAATTACTGAAGAATGAGTCATTAGTCCCTCTTCGCGTAGGTCAAGATTCCTGTTTCTTTCTCCTTTTCAGACTCTACTGCCTTTTGGCAATGTGATCAAAAAGCAAACACAAGGTCCAGAAGGCACATTTCACATTTTAAAGGCTTCTGATCATGATTCCCTTAGGAAAGTTTCTCTTTTTAAAGGGAGAAAATGAGATTGAGGGTAAAGTACAGATCCAAGTTACACAGGTGGTGCTGGTCTTCTTTTCCCTGGATATTCAAAAGCTGAGTTAGTCAGACATGATTTTGGCAACTAACTGGCAAGACCAAGATGGCAGACTAAAAGCCCTAAACTGTCTCCACCTACAGTGTAGAGGGTGGGTGCTGCCCTCCCCTCCCATCCCCTCCCCTTGGAATGCACAAAGGCTGAGTGCGTTCCACTTCCCCATCAACCACTCCCTCCTCCAGTCAGTCTGATAACACCAGCGAGATCCACAGAGGAAGCCTCACATCTCCCATGACCCCAGGCCTGCTCCGTCTGCTAAAAAGTAATTGCACGCAGCCAAGAAACAAAAACACTCCGAGAGCCACAGTTGGGCGGTATCTGTGTGGCTGTCAAGATAACCAGGGAAAACAGGTAGCTGAAGACAGCAGAAAGCAAGCCATGCACAAGGAAACCAGCTGTGATTAAAAAGGAAGAAAGGAAAACAGCAGAAACAAAAGGCTCACGTCAGCTTCAGGGAAAGGGCTTCATCGCAAGTGTCTCCTCCTATGCTCCGTTTTGCACTGACAGTGTTATTTACGGATCTGTGTGTTCATTCAGTCCTTCCCTCGCTGTGTGAAGCACGCAGCGCTCACAGGGTGCACTATAGTCGGTGCCACACTTCACTTAGTGAAATAACACCTGCATTTCCTACACTTTGTAAGTGTGGGGGAACCTGGAACGTCCTTCAGGGGAACCTGCATTCGCAGGGGACCCCTCCTCTCTGCTCAGGCCGCAGAGGACTGAGCTTGCAGATGAGCTCTTTTCTACAGAAAAGCTGGAACAGAGATCTGGAACAACAAAGTGGCAGCCATAGTCCACCAAACTATTTTTTTTCCCCTTTCAACTACAGGTTCTGCCGGCATGGTGGCGCATGCCTGTAATCCCAGCACTCGGGAGGCTGAGGCAGGAGGATCGTTGTGAGTTCACGACCAGCCTGGGCTACAAAGTGAACTCAAGGCCAGCCTGAACTACAGGTTCTTTTGCCCTTCTTCACATTTGTTGAAGAACGACCTAGCTGGGTGCAGTGGCACACACCTGTAACATTAGCTACTAGGAAGGCTGAGGCAGGAGGATCAAGCATGATGCCAGCCTAGGCAACTTAGTGAGATCTTATATCAAAATAAAAATCAGAGAGAAAAGAGGGCTAAAGATGCAGATCAGCACTTCCTGAGTTCAGTTCTACTACTGGGGGAGAAAAAAAAGAGAGAGAGGAGGAGATGAGGAGAAAGAGAAGGAATGAGCTACACAAGGGGAAAGGGCAGCGTGCCGTACCTGGTCTCTCAGCCTCTCTTGGTGTCCCATGATCGCTGTGGCATGGTGCGGGTATTTCTGCTTCAGATGTTCCAGGAATGCTTCTCTCTTTCTATCCATCTCCGATGTCTGCATTCCCAGGATTTCTTTGGAACTTCGGGGCCCACCTAGCGTGTGTCTCCTCGGGATATTTCGGGCAGACTTGGAGGCTGCGGCGCTACTGTTTCCATTAGAAAGGCGCTCCTTGGTCCTGCAGCATTCCGCATCTTCTAAGGATGTGACATGCAGGTTGCCTTTTCTGTGTTCTGCACGGCGAAAAAACATAGTTCACAATTAACAATTTCACACCAGAGATCTTATTTGCAGAACACCGCGAGGGCACAAGGCCATGGTTAACCCATCAAGGTAACTAAGCAAACCTTTTCCTTTCTATTTCTTCTTTTCTTTCCTTGTTCATTTTTTTCAGCCAAAAGGGAAAAAATATACGTCATCAAAAGAAATATGAAAAATCATACTTTAGAAATAAAAGATGTTACAGCAAAAAAAAAAAAAAAAAAAAAAAATCTGCTATTTCTGGCTCTTTTTCCATGAGCTCATTCCAAATAAAAGCACGTGTTCTGACGAGCTCATTGCAGGCAGCTGGGACACCCCTTACCCTTGTCTGCCACTGAAGCAAAGTTAGCTCCAGCGATTCAGGTTATTTCTATATTTTTAATTACTGAAATAACAGGACTTTTCAAAAATGTTATAATTTGAAGACAGTTTCTGAAACATGTGCTTCATCACCAGGAACAAAAATAGCTGTTACCCTACACACAAGTCATATAACCATTGACACATGTGAGCCACTTGAAAATTCCACTTCTCCCATTAGCATAAGGCAGGCAAACAGAAAAAATACTAGGAGTAATAATCAAGGGCATGGAAAGAGAAGGTTTAGACACACTTTACTTGCAGGGGACTTTACTGAAACACAAAGATATGTTGTTGTTGTTCTTTAATTTTATTTTTTTAAATTTTTTTTATTTTAAAGAAACAAAAAACAAAAAAAACACACACACAAAGAAATTCCAAAACAGGGCCGGGGATCTAGCCCAGCGGCATAAGTGCCTGCCTGGCAAGCCCAAGGTCCTGAGTTCAATTCCCGGTACTGACCAAAAACACACAAACAAAATTCCAAAACAATATGATAGGAAGGTAACAATGGTTAATACATTGTGTATTGTTATCTTTAAATTAGTTACTCAGAGTACGGGATATCAGCATTTAATTGCCCAAACAATATTAGCACAATCCTATCTTTTCAATGAACTGAGAGAAATTGGTAGTATAACTATTTTAACTATCTTGTGTGTATATATATATTTTTCCTTTTGCTTTTCCCTTCCTTCTTATTTCCATTCCCCCAAGCTAGTTTCTGTCTTTGAGTTTCTTCCCATTTTACATATGGTATGGTTTTTTTGTTTTTGTTTTTGTTTTTTATGGTATGTTTTAATAGCCTGGACTTAGACACATGGCTCCCAAGTTGGCCTTTAAGGGACAAATTTGTTCCTTTTTAGAAGACATCAACGGAGACATCCAAGTTCAACGCGTGGAGCACAGGACATGTGCAAGTAACACCCCTTCCTCTCTGTTCATTCTCAATGGCTGGAGAACCGGGACACCAGCTTTCAGGAATATTCCCACTAGCTAGAAAAAGGAGCTAGTTCTTTAAAAAGCCAGACTCGGGGAAAATAAAGATCATTCATAAACATTTCAGGAGCTGGACAGGTTCTGATTCTGACGCCAGGTTCTCCCTATGGCAAACAGAGCTTACCCTGCAGTCTTTCTGAGTCCTTGTCCACGGAATTCCGTGGAAAATCATTAGACTGGGCCTTGGGGGTCCTGGGTTTCATCCTAGATTTAGAACAAACCATCTGAACCCTCTCTGTCTCCTTTTCTTCATTAATAAAACAAGTTGCACTAGTGTTAGAAATGCCAAGAGCCTTCTACCTGTAAATCCTTTAAATATATTCTAAATTTTAAAAAACTTCTAGTAGCAGTTTATTTGCCAATAATTTATCTTTAAATTAAATGCAGAAGAACAGACGCCATATTTGAGAATTCTGCTCACTTGCTTCTCAGATGAACAGAGAACAAACCTTCACACTAGTGATGTAAGACAACAGGTGTCCAGAGTCCAGGTACAAAGCAGTTCCCTGAAAGCAAAGCCACCAACACAGTTTCCTTCCTCTCAGCCTAGAATCATATGCACAGAGAGCTCTAGGTACAGACTCCCTTTGGTTAGGCATAGAAAATATTTTAATCTCAGTCTGCTTTTCCTGTTCCAGTCTTCCAAAGCTTGATGTGTGCTGTGGGAATAATTCTTCTTGTTTACCCTTCACTTCTCATTACATTGCTAATTATACCATCTCCATCAGACACTGATGAAGGAAGGGAAGAAAAACACACAAATTAGTTAATCCTTCTACTTTTCATCAGTTTCAGCAGTAAGTTTAAGGGGAGAAGACTGAACTACTGGTTAAAAGAGGGACTCACTGTATTTTTACTTATTTAGGGTATCCTTCTGACTCATGGTATAGTTACCTTATTTAGGGCCACTGCCCTAATACTATTGAAGCTACAGGATGTATTGAATAAAGGTAGATGCAGGGCTGCAGGTGCAGTTCAGTGGCAGAGCACTTGCCTAGTATGTGCAAGGCTCAGGGCTGGATACCCCCTACAGAAACAAGGAAGAGGGGAAGGGAGGGAGGAGAGAGAGGGAGGGAGGGAGGGATGGAAGGAGGAAGGAAGGAAACTAAATGCTGAATAGGCCATATTTCAGGGTGATAAATACATGTATTATCTAAAGATGCTTAGCTTTATCTTTTTTTTTTGTTTTTTGTTTTTGTTTTTGTTTTTGGTTTTGGTTTTGGTTTTTTTGAGACAGGGTCTCACTACGCAGTTCAGGCTGGTCTTCAGCTCACTTTGTAGCCCAGGCTGGTCTTGAACTCACAGCAATCGTCCTGCTTCAGCCTCCCAAGTGCTGGGATTTCAGGCGTGTACCACCACGCCTGGCCTTAGCTTTATCTTTTGAGTGTGTGCTGAGCACACATTTTGCACTAACCGAAACTGTTGTTTACCTGATAGAACACTATTGACTTTTAAGTGGATTTTTAAAGATTACTTTTGGCATCTTTTAAAAATGTCTTTTAAAAATTACCCAGGACAGCTATATTCATGAACAGGATTGAGGCCCTGGAAAGACTCCTGTGACTTCTTTACAGAGACCGTTCACACACAGACACCCCCACACACCCATCTGGATAAATATTCATGCACTTACAGTCCTGGCAAAGTCCCGACAGTGGGCAGAAAGTCACACCCTGCCTGGCCACATCACACAGATGCCAATGATCTATTCTGTTTCATGCAAGGGTCATCAGAAGAGGTTGTTTTCACCAGAGCAGTAACCCCTTGGAGATCATAACAAGTTTTCACTTTCTTTTTAAAAATAAATTGGGGACGGGCTAGATGGATGGTTTTGGAGGTCGCCACCTGTCTTTTGTCAATGTTTTCAGTAGCGGGCCGGGCCTGACATAGGGTCCTGCTATGTAGTTCGGGGTGGCCTTGAAATCACCATGTAGCCCAGGCTGGCGTTGAACTCACAGCGCTCCTCCTGCCTCAGCCTCCCAATGTTAAGCTTTGAGAGGCCTCAGCTTGTGGACTCTCTCCACCCTCATTCTGTTCTAATACTTTTCACTGGGAAAGTCTCCTCCACTTTACATTGCTTTTCCATTTCTCTCTCTTTCCTGTGGATTGTTCTACAATATCCCCAGTTGCTTACCAAGACACAGCGTGACTTGAAGGAAAGCAGCGACCAGCACCTATCATTAATGTAGTGGGAAGACTCCACGCATGGCTGCCTGGCAGACATTTAATAGCCCACAGAGCCCACGCCTCCCCTGGGTCTCTCTGCCTCGGGCCGTCTGCCTGGTGCTCTATCAGCCCATCTGCCTCCACCAGGCACCTGCTCTACTTTCCCCGGCACCGAACAACCCTACACCACCATCCACACAAAGCCCCTTCACACGCGTCCCCGTCACCCGAGCCTCTTCCTCCATGAGGTGCCCCCCTTGGGAGCTGCGAACTCCATACCTGAGGGAAAAGTGGCAGCGCTCACTCCAGCCGCTCGGGGAGGATGCAGCTTTTCAGCTGAGGAGCAAAGCTAAGCAGGGTTCCAAATAAACAAGAGAGGGAACGGGCAAAGGACATTTCGTCACAATTCCACAGCCCTGGAGTCAGACACTCCAGCCCTGCCAGTTCCTCATTATCCACATGCGGAGAGAAGAGCTCAAGGGTGGCTCACGCAGGCCCCTTCCAAACAGAAACACAATTCTAGTTCTTGTTCGGAATGTGCTTTGGTGCTAACATTTAAGTAGGGGTGTGTCTGGCTGTTTGCTATTCTGGGAATCCTTGTGGAAGGAAGTAATGAAGCTGCCGCATGAAGACAAGGCTGGGGAGATGCTGAAAAGCAGCTCTGTTTCCTCTTCCTGCCCCTCCCGGCCTCTGCAGAGAGAGAGAGGCACAGAGAACGGGAGCTCAAAGTGGAAAACAAGTCCTTAGACACTGCCCGGAGCAGGAGTGGAGAAGAAGAAGTCAGAAAGGCTGGCGACTCCTCTGAGTCCCAAAGGGCTTCCCCGCTGGGACGGCAGACCTTCTGCAGAGCGGGGCTGGGGCAGGCACCAGATGGGCTGGGGACTGTGGAAAGCGGGAATCCAAGAAGTCACCCACACAGCGTGCTCTGCAGACAGGTCACCGCAGGGGCTGCCAAAGCTGGCTTCAGTGCCACGCTCGGGTTACTTGGGCTGCGCCAGCCGACCCGCAGCAAAACATGAGGGGCCGTGCATCATTCGTTCCACACCTGCTGGGAGCCAGCAGCGGGGCTGGGGGCTTTCCTGAGTTTTCACTCTGGGGAGTTTTTGGTGCTGAGGATGGACTCGGGGTCTTGCTCGTGCTAAGCATATGCACAGTTACACTCGCGCCACCTTCCCTGAGAATCATCCCTGGGTCAAGATTAGGTAGGCTGCAGACTCTTAGGGAAAGGTGTCTCTTCCTTGTTTACAATGATCTTGGTTTTCTGTCTCTAAGACGGAGCTTCCTAAATTGTTTTGAGATGTTCTGTTTTGGGGGACGTCACGGAGAGTCGCTGTTTAATGTGGCTATACAGCCTCTCTGGGTGTCCCACAGCAGCCAGAGCACTATTTTATTTATTTATTTTTATTTTTTATCTTTTTCAAACAGGGTTTTACTATGCGGTTCAGGC